TCAGAGCGATTAGAACCCACCATTGTTTTTCAGTGAATGTAAATTGCATTCACTGAAAAACAATAAAATGTTCTGCCAGCTCTATTTCATCATGCATAAGAGATTCATGTTTTAGTTATTTACAAAAGTTGTAGTTAATATCAAAAGCTACAAAAGCTGTATGCATCATTTAACGGTATTCTGTTGATTGGAGGCGAACCAGCCCAAGGCTGAAAGCCTCCTTAATAAAGCTAAATAATAATAATAATATTCTGTTGATGAAAAAGTTAGAGGCAAATGAATGTAAATGAATGCTCGAAATGAATGTAAATGATTTTCCATCCCTGCTCATGTCCAATCACTTTTCAATAGACTCACATCTCTATCGGATTGAGCTCTCAGACAGGAAATCTCAGATGGGAAATTGGTCATTTTCGAAACATTACTAAGCATGTCAACAATTCTTGTAGCACCAAAATAACCAAAGAGTTAGTTAAAGTAATAATTAAACTTAATTTCTGAAACGTTTTAAGCAGATACAATCGCTAGAAGTTATCGAAAATTACAAAAAATCGTTGGTTGATCAGCGATGATTAATTAGGTGATACATACATTTAGGCGTTTTCCGAGTTAGAATGTGTCTTGAGATGTTCAAACAAATTAATAGGAAGATGACCTGTGTTTATTTAGTTACACTAAAACTGATATCTAGTAAAAGTGAGGGGGTGACGGGCCTACGCGCTCTTCCCATCTTCCTATTAATTTGTTTGAACATTTCAAGACAAATTCTAACTCGGAAAACGCCTAAATGTATGTAGCTCCTAATTGATCATCGCTGATCAACCAATGATTTTTGTGATTTTCGAGAACTTCTAGCGATTGGATCTGCTTAGAATGTTTCAGAAATTAAGTTTAATTATTATTTTAACTAACTCTTTGGTTATTTTGGTGCTACAAGAATTGTTGACATGCTTAGTAATGTTTCGAAAAAGACCAATTTCCCTTACATTTTTGTATGGCGTCCTTATATTTATTTCCGAAGGAGAGAATCACATTTCCATTTATTTCCCCTGCGTACATGATGCAATTGGTTATTTCTATGGGTGATATTGTAGCATGATAATGTGGCTTCCAAAAATACATGTTTTAGAATTCCTCTGATTCTTATATTTGGTAGGCGCCATGCTTTTTTATGTGTCTTTATATTTATTTCCACTAGTGTATGCGCCTGTGGTGACGGTTACCATGACATCGAGCATGTTGTTTGGTCTTGTACTTTATACTGTGTTGCCAGATCTGAGCTGCGTGAATCCCTTAGGGCCCGAGGAAAGCAATCTGCCACACCCGCTAGAGCCGTTCTGGCTAGCCGCGATCTGGAGTATATGAAGTTGATTTACAATTTTCTAAAACAGATCGATTTGAAAATTTAAGAGTCTTTAGCAGTTTTCTTTTTATTTATTGTTTTTTTCTTTCTTTTTTAATTGATGTGTCAGTCTTCTCATCGTTCTCCCAACATAGCCCTTTTTGTGTTTCGTTTCAGTTGTCTCATCAATTCAGTGCTAACATTTGAAAACGGCACAAAAGCCATTTGTAAACAAATGGTTTGTGGGCCCTTTACTCGCTACCCGAAGAACGCCCACGCAAACCACCAGCATCGTCAGGAAGGGGAAAATTTCCCCTACCCGATGTTGCTGTTGTGTCGCGTGGGTGTACTTCAAGTAGTGAGTAAAGGGCCCACAAACCATTTGTTTACAAATGGCTTTTGTGCAATTTTCAAATGTTAGCACTGAATTGTCCATTCAACGTTTGAGATTCAGAGCACTTGTCCGCACTGCACTGCTTCTTCCACGTTCATACACCAATGCAACGGCGATGGAGGTTAAAACGACAATTCACTTCCATGTACCTTATCCTCTAAGTCCAAATCCAACTTGTTAAAAATTGTTGTCCTTAACCTCGAGTAAGCCGCGCGTATTCGGTTCCCGTCCTACGAAATATTTCTATTATACATTGAATTACGGCTCCGCAAAGCTAACGCAATTGAGCCTTTATAAATAAATGATATTATAAAAAAAAAGGATTCTAATGATTGTTTTGATGGGTTTTTCTCAACAAAGATGTATATTTACTGCATAAATTTCAACTTTAAGTCTCTGACGTTCAATAGCTTACGATATCATAAATCAAACAAATGATTATAGCACGAAAACAACTGTTGTCACTAACTTGAATGTGATTTGTTGACGAAACTAAGTGTCACTGAATTCAAATTATGTAAAATATTAAAATAAAACGTTTTCAATTATTAAGAAATTAGAAAATTGTTGACAAATTTGTACCAATTTATAAAGAACTTGCCTTCATTTAGGCGCAATTGTGTATTTTATTAATCCTATTTTAGAATTTGTTGAGAAAACACTTGCAGGCGCCGGTGGTGTAGTGGTAAGCGTGACTGCTTTCTCACCCCAATGGGTCTGGGTTCAATGCCAGCCGAGGTCGGTGGGATTTTTCTGGGGCATAAATATCTCTGGTCACGTCTTCCTTCGGAAGGAAAGTAAAGCCGTTGGTCCCGGCCCATGTGTGTTGAATGGGTGCGATATCCTACGCAGGTGTGGAAGCTGCCTTCCTGCAAATTCGATTGCCGTGAATGGATGCCAATCGATGTCCGTCGGTAATTGGCACTAGATTGCGGAACAGAGACCGATGTTAAATAATCCTTCGCACAAGGATTCTAATATAGCGGCCCCGGTGGTGTAGTGGTAAGCGTGACTGCCTCCCGCTCGCGATTTTCTGAGGCATAAAATCTCTGATCACACCTTCCTTCGGAAAGGAAGTAAAGCCGTTTGTCCCCGATCCATGAGTTGATGGGTCGATAAGCAGGGTACAGATGTGGAAGTTGCCTCCCTGGCATCGGTAGCATTGGTACTCAGTACGGAAAACAAAATTCGGATGAAGGGAATCCAAACTTATAAAGCACATTAACTTTAAATGCACTGGGCAGTTGTTTTAAGTGTTCATAACTTTCATCCCATATCTACATTTTCAAATATGAATTTTTAAAACGTCCTAAAAATAAACAAATCCAATGTAATAACGTATCCTATCATCTATTTTATAGAGTCCTCATTGCTACTGGTTTGTCTACCATTAAACAATGATCTTTTTTTGTACACTGAAAATGTATTTTCTTTATTTCTCTGAAAACCGTTTCGTAAAAATGAATATCGCACATACTACACATCTTTCATAAATGGTACGAAGCATTCGTTTTTCCTGTCATCTGGCGCAATGTATATATTACGCCTTATTCGTATAATAAACAAATTCATCTTCGTACAATCACACCAACAACTGCGCTTATTGTCTCCTCAAGTTCTGATTGTGTGTTGGAGATGGGATACTTTTTTTTTTAATATTGTCGGTTTGACCAATACATGCAAGCTACCACAATAAATCAAAATACTGGTCTCGGTTGTTTTATGTCAGAGACAGAAAAAAAAAATACATGCAAGCAGCAGAAAAACCCAACGAAATCGAATTACCGTTCCAGATCTTCCTATCGCAAGGTTCATGATTCGAGTCTGGTCTGAACCCTTTTTGACGTAGGACTACGTTTGTGATTTCTATATGAGGGTACACTTTATGAAAACCGAAAATGGAAAACGTAACAAAATTATGAAAGATTTTTAACGTTAATAACTCAGTTGCTCCTGGATCAATTTCAATATCACCAATCGATCAGATATATTTCTACACATCTGTTAAATTTAAGACTTAATCGTTTTTCAAAATGTCGCTATTGAAAATTGCACAAATGTGCAACTGTTGCTATAATAATAAAAACTATCACCGATTGCCTGAGAAAAACGATTTCCCTAACACAGATTTCAAAGTTGAATTCCATTCGGTCCCACCAAACGGTGTTTATTCAATCGCCAGTACAATCCAGTACACAACGAAAGGCTGCCTCCAAGCAGCGAGCTGCAGCCCAAATGAGCATCCATAGAAAGAGGAGGGGGCGACCCCGGCGTAGTGGTTAACATCCATACCTCTCACGCCAAAGTCACGAGTTCAAATCTCACCCCCGGACAAGTCACGAATGACCCAAGAGTGTTAAAGTGACTATAATTTAAAAAAAAAATAGAAAGAGAAAGAAGTCACGCCGCTATTGATTGGAATCAGTAGCTCTTCGTGAGTCGCTGTGGGCCATCTATGCCAAGCGCTTCACCCTCATTCCAAACCACATGCAGCTCACCAGCCTCATCTGTGTTTAACACCCTAATAGCTCAGCATTACTCAACCATCACGACAAAACGGTTCTTTTCAGGACGTGCTTGCGCCTGTGCTCAAACATCGGGGTTGCACTCGGAGGTTTTACGTGATGGTTGGTGTTGGCGAGATGATAATTGCGGTTTAACGTGGGTAATTTAAAGAGAGATTTTGTCCGGTTTTGCGACAATCGTCAACACCAATATCTTTCTGACTGCGCGTAGTTGCAATTAATTAAATTAATTAAAAATTGCTTTTAAAAGACTTAAGCTGGGTTTACATAGGGCAAGTCAATTGATCAAGTCAGTTGAATTCAACTGACCTGAACGCGAATTGAACGTGTAAACCATACCATTCAACTGACTTGATCAACTCACTTGAATTGAAAAAAGTTGAACCAGGCTCAACTTTTCAAGCCAATTGAATTCAACTGAGTTGATCATTTGACTTGCCTAATCTAAACCCAGCATTAAAGTCAGTCAAGCATTGCGCAATGTTTATAGTGCAGTTCAATTTTTATTTAGTAATAAAGAAGGATTGATAGAGGAAGTGGATACAGTATTCTGGAATAAAGGAATGTCGGACAAAAGCTGCACAAAAATTTGGAAAATGGTTGGTGGGTTTTATTCTTTTATGCTCAGTAATATACTCATTTTTTAGTTTCCATTTACTTAACCACATAAACAATAAAACAACAAATCGAATCAATCAGCTAAAAATCAAAATAACAAATAACCAAAAATAAAAACTATTTATACAGTTTTTTGGAATTTGTTAATGGCAGCAGGCAGCAAATCACGACTGAACCGAATGGTCATCAAATCATTAAGCATTTGTGGGGACATTCGCAGCCGATGTTGCTCCAGCAATAGCTTGATTGCCGAGAAGCACCGCTCAACTGAGACCTGCGTAGCTGATGCGGACAATGCAATCGTTGAAAGTGCATACAATTGTGGATCTTCATAGCGTCGAGATTCCCAATATTTCACAATATCTGTGTTGACTGGAAGTCGACTTTTTGTGTTTGCCAAATCCAAAAGCCTCAGCTTAAGATCAACTTGAGAAGGGCTCAACATATAAGTAGATGCTTGCTGGCACTCTTCCTCGAGTAAAGCCTCCAAATCGTCTTCGGTTGGGTTTTTGGAATCTTGATTCGATGTTCCCGGTTGCTGTTCATCGGATGGACTGGTATTAAATGTTGTTAAAATATTGCTTACTTTAAGAATGTGTTCCTGTGTGGATTAAATAATAAGAAATGGGAAAAGGTACTGTGAAACAATGGGCTTATATAAATCTCGTATAATTTCAAGAAAGATGTGGTGAATTTTATAAACGCTCGATTGATATCAGTTCTGAATAAATCGTTTATATTTTCATCGTTACTTTTCTCATTGAAAAGTAGGCTTGAACGGGAAATAGATTGATATTTAAGCTACATATTATTTTCAAGGAAACTTCCAATGTAACTTTTTTTTCAGTCGTAATTTATACTCAAATAACTTTGATCCTATTTGAGCAGTGTTTTAGTCAAGGGCTTCAATTTGTTTTTCTTTCTTCAAAGTCCAAAACGCATATGGATGAAACCCATAAACATATATAATCACAGTATCACAGTCATTTGAAAGTGATTTAGATCAGAAAAATCATTACAAACCAAATTCCCATGTATTGTCAGTTGTCATCGATACTATTTTTTTAATATTTGAAACAACAACAAAAAATACTTACAATTGCAGCAAGCTTGTCGTCTGTCGTAACATACGGAGAGTCAATGAAACACCAGCGTTGATCGAATAGTAACGCGGCCCGGAATGCGTTATTATCCATCATTACTGTTGCTCGAGTGGTTAATGCATGAACAATTTTTTCGGAAAACCTGTTGCCCGGTGGGACTTGTTTTAGTTTCAGCTGACACATCTTCACAAACTTATACACGTCACCCAAAATTAAGTCATCCGATTGTAGATTCTTTGTTAGACCATACACAGGTTCAAATGCACATGAAAATTCTATGACGTAATCCCAGTCGTCCTCTGTAAGCCGGAGTTCATCAAATTTGCAGCCCAAATCTTTATAAAAAGTACTTTGGGCATATAGGCATGCAACCATCTCGTACATAGAACCCCATCTGGTTTCGACGTCAATTTTCGGAAGTGGTACTTTTGCCAAATCGAAAAATGGTTTATATTCGGTTTTCCGACAGAATTTCACTATTTTTTCCTCTCCATTAATCACGTCCTTCACCACCAAGTTGATTGTATGCGCGGCACATTTCAGAGTAGCAATACAAGATTCGTTACCATGCAGAAAAATGCTTTCTACCGCCTCTAACATCTCATCCACTTCTTGATCTACCTGTGCTGTTTCATCGTTGGCAATATATTCATCGTGTTTCTCTTCTTCATTGTTGAACATGTCTTCATAGCTTAACTCAGTTTCCGAATCGAGAGCCATGTGCTGAGACTTGTTCAATTCCCGTACACATTTTAGCATATTCTTGCCATTGTCCGTAGTACACGAATAAATATGCACCACACCGGAATCATACAACTTCAAAACTTCTTCAACTCGCAGTCGCAAGTTTTCAGCAATCTGGCGTGTGGTTATTTCCATCATGGACAGAGTTCGCGTTCGAAACTTGCCATTGACTAGAGTTCTCGCATTGATCCCAAAAAATTTCCGGTTGTGCCGTTGAGCACCATCGAATTCCAAAGAAAATAATCCGTTGAGTTCCTTAGCAATCATGCTTCGTATGATGTTTGCAATTTTTGGGATCATCGAAGCCATTGCTTCACCGTATGACGGAATATTGAGAGCTTTGACGAGAATTCCAATTGTCGATCGAAATGCTTTAGAGTTAAAAAAGTTAAAAGGAACAGAGTTTATGGCAAGCATTTCAACTAATCCGCATTGAAAATCGACAGGATCTACTTGCACAGTTACTGTCTTCAGTTTCTTAGATGGAGAGGCTTCTTGAGGTACACTTAGTTGATCTGACTTTCGCTTGTATCCTGTGATTCCGATTTGCGATGCAATGTTCGGATGTAATTGGGCAATATGTCTCCTCAAGCTACTTGCAGAATCTTTGAGTTTTCCAATACATCCTTCAACTTTGCATTTGAACAGTTTTTCATTTTCATCGTAGGGAAAATAGCGTGCCTTTATTTCTGAACTTTCCATTTCGATTACTTGCTAGACATGAAATCAAAGGTTATCAAATTAACATTAGAAAATATGATTTCGAAGTACAGTGCTATATGTACAGCCATTCCATAGCAAAACGCTGTAGTGGTTCTCAGAATTTCGTAAAAATTGGTAGTTTTGTTCCTTATGGTCAAATATTAGACCTTAAATTTTTTTTTGTCATTAGGGTGACCAATTCTATGTTAGGGTGGTATCTTTTTTTATATTACAAAAATGCATAACTTTTGAACCATTGCATAGATCAAAATACCAAATGAAAGGTAATTTAGTTTTTCAAAACAAAAAAAATTAAAAAAAGGGTTTTGTATTAAAAAACAATTGATCGCATTTATTTTTTTATTGTTTTCATGGTTTATAGATAGAGATCGTATTATGATTTTATATTTTTCCTTAAAAGTATTTTACATGGAATCGCTCATATTTAGTAGTGCCCAAAGCAAGCTGTGATGGGTTCAAAACTAGTCATCTAAAATGATGCATTATGAATCATGCAAGCAGAACAATATACGAGAAACAGTAAGGTTCGTAGAGGACTTATACTCTCAGAAGGACAATCTTTAATATAATCAAGGAAGAGAATATTACAAAATGTCTTGAAAAATGTAAATTTATTACTATTCTCCTTCTTCTTTTTCGCATTTAAAGCAACGTAGTGTTCTAGATGCATTTTTATAGTTATTATTTTGAGATTTCGATGCCAGTCCCACTAGCATTTTCAGCTGCATATCAGCTTATACAGTCTTAATTTGCTTTATGCAGCTAGTTTTTGCCTGCATATGCTAATCTGCAGCTAAAATTGTTTGTTGGGGTACCAATGCAAGAATTTATATATTGTATAGCAGCAAGCACAATGATATCTTATGCCCATGAAAATCGAGAAAATTCTCTCTACTGGAACGAGAATCGAACCTCCTCTGATTTGGAAGACCGTGCCTTACCACTAGACTAAGTGGGGCTATGAAAAATGTAAATATATCCTTGTTTATTAAAAAATCAGTGAATTATATACTTGAAAAAACCACTAATATTCAAAAGAAGGAAAAATTCACTAGAATACATTAGGGATGGTTCATTAATTATGTCACGCAAATTTGGCCCATTTTCAACCCCCCCTCCCCCCTTTGTCACATTTTTTGTATGGAACTTAATTTTTTTTTGTATGGCTCGTCACAGTTTTCAAACCCCCCCTAAATGTGTGACATAATTAATGGACGACCCTTTACATCGTTTGCAATAAATTACATTTTTTTGAGAATTTTACATTCTTAAAATCACATGCTGTTCTTCCCATAAAAGTAAAAATAATTTATATAAGTGTAAATTAAAAGTATAACTAAGTAAACAAGTAAGCAGGTGCTGAAAACATTTAGAATAACACTAGGCTATCTGAGGCCCCTGCAGTCACTGTGTCACAACTGGTATCGCATAAGAATGTTATATGTTTGCCTCCGTAAATCGATGTTCCTACGTACCTCGACGGTTGTATATGTCATTAAAATAAGTATATCCATTCACACAAGAAATATATAGTGAATTCCAAATTAGTCTGACAAAAATACCAATACAACCCATAAAGAGCTTTCTTATATAAAGAAGCTCTCGTATAGAAATCACCCCTATCAAGAAATTTTGCAAACAATTAAGCACAAAGCGTTTTTTGGATGGAAATGGCTGCCATACGACGTAGTGCGCGGATCACTACCAGCGCTACAGCTAAATATGCTTCGACTGGAATATATATATTAAATGTTACAGTCTTACTTACCGACGATTACTTCGTGGGATAAAAGATATCTGAATAGGTAACGCTAATAAATCACCACTAAAATATTTTCGCGTTCGTCACAAACACCACACGTTTACCCGAAAACAAAATGTTGAAAAGGAAACCAGCATAAGCCAGGAAAAAGACGAGCAGCAAAAAAAAAGGAAACCAGCATCTGCGCTTGGGTGCGAACATTGATGTTCGAGCGCTGAAGAAAACGAAGTGCGCGCATGAACTTCAAACATACGCTCGGGCTCATGTTCATTTGGCTGAGTGCATGCGTGAGCACAGAATGAATGTTCTTGTGAGTACGAAAACTTATTTGCTCACAAGCGCGATGCTGCACTTTGAAGACTGCCATCAGGTAGGGTAAGACTTTCATCACCCGGTTTGTGTGGACGTGCCTTGAAATCCTAAAAATCCTCGAGAGAAGTGATAGTTTACAAAAGCTGTTACGCCTAAATCCAACTCTATCTAGATATGTTTAAATCTAACATACCCTGTTCTTGAAGGCAACATTGGGGGTGCAATTTCAAAAACCAAAGTCGGTCGCGGCATGAAAGTGGTCTGGTGTTGATCCAGAGATGATGGATTTTGATTCTTCATTCGCTAATCGATAGGATTCTGTTAAAGTTTCTGTTGCTATTATAGTTAAAATTATCAACGATTGCCTGCAAAAAGCGATTTCCCTAACACAGATTTCAAAGTTGAATTCCATCCGGTCTCACCAAACGGTGTTTATTCAATCACCGTGTGGTGAGTGGTGGTGTTCTCCATTACACAACGAAAGACTGCCTGCAAGCAGCGAGTTGCAGCCCACATGAGCATCCATAGAAGCAGGAAGAAGCCGCACCGCTATTGATTGGAATCAGTAGCTCTTCGTGAGTCGCTGTGGGCCATCTATGTCAATCGCGTCATACTAACGAGTTTAAGCAGAGAGAACCCCGCTCAAATTCCTATTCCTACACAAAACACAAGCTCCTGCTGCAGTTAACAAATAAGATTTATTGTATTAGACCACGTAGTCCGACGTCACCATTGCGTACAACCCCTTAGTCCCTTGTAGTTTTTATTTTTTTTGTCATGTTTATTTCTTCCAATAATGAAGTTATTTTTGCCCATACAATGTACAAATCCATTTCGTTGCAGAAAACAACGAATACATTCGTAGAACAAACGAGCGATTTCGTTGAATAAACGAATTTTTTTTTTCAGTGTAGAAGTGGTCCTTTTGCCCTCGGTTTACGGTATTAATATTATTTTATCTTTCTAAGTCAAAGTCTCTGTAACGTCAGTGAAAATAGCTTGGGTCAAAATTAATAATCGCCCCTGCCCGGAATCTCGGTTGACGAGAGATTATCACCCAACAGTGGCTAAAAACAGACGGCAGCAACACGCTGGCAGGCAAGGGATACTGCGGCTTATCATTCATCATCAACCGAGCACTTTAGTCCAAATCATCTGACGGTGATGGAATAATTTGAATAACGCCAAAAAGTGTCAATTAAGAAGCATGCAATCAAGCTGGGAGAAAGAAAACCGTGCATAAATCTGTTACCTTTCTTCATCCACCCACACCAGGTAAGGGATAGGACAAGACAAGGATTAATTTTCATCCTTTTAGTGAACAAAGATCGGCTAAATATAATCCACATGGCAGACGGATCTTTCCGTTGGATTTCTTTCTCGCTATTGTACAACTAGTAACTTTCTTCCGGTCTGGAAGGAACGTTAAGACGTCGTCATCTCTTGAGTTTACTCCGTGGTGGAAGCAACGATAAATTCAGCTGGTAACAATGTAATCCGGTTGTGAAATTTGTTCCAGGAGGAGGATCTTCCAAGATTTGTATCCACCCTTTCGCAGCAAATGACTAGCCGTAAGCGAACGATATTACAGGAAATAGTAAACAGATGCCGTCTCTGTAATAAATATGATTTTATCCGTGAACAACCTAGGTAGGTATAATCAGAAGCCGAAAGCAGATCAAAAATCACAAGTTGGTGTAGGTACCATAAGCAACCCGGCTAGCATTTGATTGCCACTTTGTTTTCGCTTTCTCTTTCGAATTCAATTTATCGAAATTGTCATTCCCCCGCTTACTCATCGCCTCAGGGAACGGAGCTTTTGGCAATCTAAATGCTAGTGCAATAAAGCTGAGCAGCCCGGAGAATAAAATTCAGAGGAGACGATCAAACTTCTTCCTATACCTAACTATTCTGGCTGGTACACATACACCCTTGAAAGAAGCATCCAATCATATAAAATCCATGTCATCGCTTTTCCCTTTCTAGAGAGCTTCGAACTGCGTGTACTTGGAACGGTCCTTGGGCCTAGGGTTGATGATAAGCTATAATCAATGACAGTTTGAATGCGAACTTCCAGGAAGGAACCGGATATTGAAAGTTGAATCTTGCGTCAACTTAGTGTGTGTGAAAAATCGGCTCAGAAGAAGCTGGGGAGACTGCAAAAAAATTGCTACTCTCTCAATAACTGGTGCAATGAGCAGCACACCGAGTATGTCACTAGATGCTCTACTTTATCTGCTTCCGTTGCATCAATTTATCCAATTAGAAGCTGAAAGGAGCGCTTTAAGGGTTCAACAGACATAGTACTTCCTTGAAGGTGATTTTACAGGACACCTTA